AGGGTATTGAATCGTTCGATTCTGCGTTAAAATTGAGTGGCCCTGAAAAGGGCCGATATAATTGTTAAAATCTTCCATTGTCGTCGTTCTTCGAGATCGTGGTCTGTTACTTCTTTCCTGGTTCTGCGGGGCACAAGGATGGAATGAATCGTAATGCTGATTCTTCTTTTCGATGTAATTTCGATATTATTTGTATTTCTACCAGTAAAAGTTCCAGAAGAGATCCCTAACAATGTACCCATAACCATTTGTTGTATATATGAATTGTAATCCATTAGTTATAAACAATTTTCCATTTCATGTTCCAATATGAAATATCGGAGCAAATGATTCGTGCCACTTTGTACGTAAGAAATAAAGTAAAATCCGGCACGAATTTTCTGCTGCTTTCAAATAGCCTAACAGCGCCAATTTCATGCAGCGGCAAAACTCTGAAACTGTTCGTCAAGCAACAGTTGCCTGCAATTTGCCGCGCGGTAACACTGCGTGCGCGCGACATCTGTCGGCGAGTGTCCCAAGTCTGCGGCGGAAACTTAAATCAATACTCGCCGACAGATATCGCGCGCATCAGTGTTACCGCGCGGTCAATTGTAGGCAACTGTTGCTTGATGAACAGTTTGAGCGTTTTGCCACCGGACTAATTGGCGCTGAACGGACCTCGAAAAAAGCTTCGGGATTTTCCCGCAAGGAGCGCCACTTGTCACAAGAGGCGCTACTTTTAAAATATTCAAGAAGCGTTGAGAGATTTGGAAAGATTAATTGATGGAATCAGAGAAATATGGATATATCCTTATATATATATGGAAATATCCTTAACGTTGTTCTTTTCTGTTCTTATTTGCAAATACTAGATAAGAATGTAGACGTTATAGCATCTGCACTAGTCGCAATTTCCCTCTTCAAAACTGTACTTCTTTTGGTGTAACAAATTGTCGGATGATGGATTGAGAAATACGTGGTTTTATTTGCGATGCACTGGATTTTATTAGAAAAATGTTATTAAATATTTCGCGCCGGACACACATGCAAAAACACGCTCGAACAAAGAAACGGTCGCTGTGAACAAACAATGGAAACGACAGAATTAAGTTCGGTAAATGGTAATACTATAAGAGCGTCTCTCTCTCTCTTTCTTTCTCACACACATACTCTCTATGTCTTCATTTCCTCATACTCTCTCTCTCTCTCTCTTTCTCTTTGTGTTGCGCGTAAATGCAAAACCGCGTATATAAACATTTGCACACTACAGAGTGGTTCAGTAATTTTTATCATCACCGAACACCCATAAATTTAACGCGGGGCGTTGCGCGATACGAAGCCGTTCCATTTTCTATGGGGTTAAGTGGCAATAATTACACCGAGTCACTCTGTATAACGATCTTATAATAACTTTTAGGCTAAAACGATCTATTTGCAACCTAACAATCGACTAACTAGCTGCAACAATGATTAAAACGGTATTAAAGTGGTCCATGACACCGCAGAGGATATTTTTCGAGATTTCATGGATCACTATAACGATCAAACTGCGGATGTTCGTGCAAACATCTTTTTTTAAAATGACCACGCCCAACGTGGGGCATATCGGTGAAATGAGAATAAAATTTTGTCGCGACTCTTCCTTCAAATCTCTGTCTATACTAATTAAACATTTATAACTCTTCTATTCGAACACGTTGTCGAATATTAAAATCGTTATCGTTACAACATCCGCAGTCCAGTGATAAGTAACAAATCGCAATATACAAAATAAATTAACCGTCGGACAACTAATCGAATTTTACTACTAAATAGATAGTATCGCGGAGCTTCCTCGCGTGTCTGGGTCTTTCGATCGAGATAATCGACGCGCGCTCGCGGGACGAATTCTACAAACCGTCAGTCTTATAACAACGCAAAACTATTCACGCAACCTATTAACGGCCTAAGTAACCGATCGATTATTCCTCGAATACTGATTTCACACGATACGAAAGAAAGAAACATAAAACAAAAAAAAATAAAAAGAAAACCACGAAGATTTTCTTTTTACCGAGTTTTCGAGTCTGCGCGAGGCCGCTAAGATTTCGCGTTTACAAGAGAAGCGCGCTTTGGGTTCCCGTTTGTCGAGCCGAGTTTTATACATAAATGAACAAACAAACAATCAATCAAGGGAAACAAACACACCGTGTGTCCATCGAGTTTATCAATAAATACTTTATCGCTCTATGCTTAATCGAGAACTGTATAGAACGTCGAGTTCCTCGTCATAGGTTTTTTTTTTCAAAGTTACGATCGTCGAGGCCCGTAACGAAATTGACCGGTCTAGGATCCTTTTCTCGTCGTTCCTCTTCTCCGAGAAGAAACTTCGTCCTTGGACAGGAAAAAATGGTACCTCTCCGTACTTCTGTCTCGACGTATCAAATTAGGTCCTGTCGTTTAGCGCCGAGTGAAACTATTTATTACGCGAGAGGCTAACGCGTTAACTGTCGCTCGGGTTCACGCTGATTTCTGAGAACAAGTCGCTCGCTATTGGAAGGTTTAATGGACTTGGTTTGGCAGTGAATACATTGAATATTATTTCGGCAGTATCGGGACACAACTTCTTCCTTTACTTCGAGATTGTTTTCTGATCCTTCTCCTCGACTCCTTGACTCGCAGCTTCCGTCGCTATCTCATCGAATACAATATCTGTTTTTTTTTCTCGTATAGGGCAGTTAACGCGAAGCCTCGTTCCATTTATCAGCTGTGTCTAGGACAAATGCGACTACAGTATGCATCGACTGCATCTGTCTAGTGCAAACGGACGGTCGACGATGAAGATCGAACTTGCACTTTCTGTCAGCTTGGATCATATAAGACGATTCTGCTTAAGATAGAAATGCTGTGATATAGGGCGGTTCGTGCTTTTTCCAAACATTAAGGAAACCCAATCAGAAAACTAGACAATTAACAATTGTTTCCAATCATCTTTCGAATCGGTCAGCATCTCATCTCTCATCTCTCAGTTTCGATACGTGAGGAGATGTTACGTCGAGTTTCCGAAATTTGGCTCGATTGCTACCTGATCTATTGCTGTTGGTTCCTCCGGATGGACCGGTATCGACAGGAACAGCTCGACCAACAATACACGCATCCATTTAGGACTTAATACTGAAACCCTTCGAGACTCTCTTAACCCTCGCACGGCGGACTATTTTATCGTTTCCATGGTATCTATTCAAATTCTTAGGCAGCAATTTTCCTTTACGTATTTTCCAGCTTGCTAAATTTTCTCATTGGACCAGAAATATAAGTAACTATTATAATATTATATTAACTAACTGTATTAACTAACTATAATTAAGTTAGTTAATATTATTTTAACTAACTATATAGTTAATATAATATAGTATATAATATAGTTAATATAATATTAAAATAATATAATATATATAATATTAATATAATATTAACTAACTATATATACAGTAATATTATATTACTAATATTATATTAACTAACTATATAGAGTTAATATAATATAGTTAATATAATATTAATATAATATATATATATAATAAAGTTAATATAATATTAACTAACTATATATATATATATATATATATAGTTACTTATAAATATGTAACTATATTATAAGAGTAATGATTCGACCTGGCTGCCAGATTCGAATTTAAACGGAGTACACGTGCCTCCGGGGGGTCTGAACGGAGCCAAGTCCGCCGTGCGCGGTCTCAAACACTGTGAACAGAAGAGCGCGTCTCTAATTCTGCGGCGCGTTATCGTCGTCCTGTTGGTCGCTGGTCTCGGCGGCGGACGGTATGGTCGCGAGTAGCCTAACCGCGAGCCTGCTGGGCGAGCCGGGTGGTTCTGGCTCCTGGATGGCGAGTTGCCTCGTGAGCCTCGGCTTCGACCTGGCTGGCCTAGGCGTGGTCCTCGCAGCGATCTCCAAGGACGCGCTCGATCGCGAAATCCTCCAGGTGCTGGTACTAGCGGTGGTAGCAGAACCGGAGGAATCGTTTCTGGACGAGCTGAGATTCGAGTCCTGCGACGGTTTCCTTGTGATCAGCCAGGACGAGGCTCTTCTCTTGGGGTCCAGCAAGCGCAGTGGTATGCCGCAATGATGGGTCTGCCGCCAGGAGTCCGATCGCGACGAGGAGAAGTTCTCGCTGGATGACACCGAGGAGGCTCTCTTGTGCTGTTTCTGTTGGATCTCGGCGATCTGATAGGCGTACTGGTCGCTCCGGTTGTGACGTGGCCTGGTGTCCTTCGCGCAGGGCCACAGTATCCTGGTGCCCCATCGCCTGTAGCCCGAGCACTGTCCGGGCTCGAGCAGCCTCGAGTTGCACGCGCACGGCGTCTGATTGTCTCTGGACGACCGGTCCATCAGGCTGTTAGTGTTCACCGGGGTCTGCCGGTTGCTGAAGTTCGAGCTGTGCCGGCATCTACCGATCCCCCTAGTCACCCGGGACTCCTCGATCGCCTTGCAAATCAGCACGCAGTCCTTCTTGAACTGTTTCGTCAGGATCGCGTACAGGAACGGGTTGCAGCAGGAGTTCAACGGCAGCACGAACACGGCGAACACCTTCGCCTGCTCCAGAGAGACCAGCTGCAACCCGAACGTGGCGGTCAGGGAGAAGAACGCTATGGGGGACCAGCAGAGAAAGTCCGTGAACACTAACAGAGCCATTCGCTTGGCTATGCGGGAGTCGTTCGAGTTCCACGCCTGGGAGCCACGGATCGCGCAGTACATCTTCAGGTAGCAGCCCATCAGGATCAGAAACGCGACTCCGTTGATCAGCATCAGGAAGATCACGTAGGCTAGAGCAGCGTTGCCGTTCGTCTCGAACGGCAGGCATATGGCGAACTTTCGGTAGTCGGAGACACCGACCAGCGGCAGGGCGGCCATCGACAGTGCGAAACACCAGCCGATCGTCATTATGTAGCCGGCGTGCTTCAAGGACAACCGTTTGTTCAGGTGCATCGCGTGGGTTATCGCGTAATTCCTCTCCATCGTGATCACCGCCAGGGTGTACACGCTCAGTTCGGAGCTAAGGACGCCGAGGAACCCGGCTAGCTGGCAACCGGCCGACGTTTGCCAGGGAATCGCGTACATGCGGAACTCGCCCAACGTCGAGGCGTCCACCACTGCCAGGAGACCTGAAATTCGGAACGTTGGTCACACACGTTTTGCTTTTGCTGCGATTGATTGTCACGGTGGAAGATATTACTCGAATAATAGTCACCCACTCAGGGTGGGTATTACTCAGAAAATATTATATAATATTAATAATAATATATTATGTATAATATAATATTATATAATATTTTCTGAGTAATATTAATAATAATATATTATATATAATGTAATATTATATTAATAATATATATTATATATAATATAATACTATATTAATAATGTAATTATATAATATAATATAATACTATATTAATAATGTAATTATATAATATAATATAATACTATATTAATAATATAATTATATATAATATAATATAATATTTATATAATATTTTCTGAGTAATAGCCACCCTGAGTGGGTGAGTGTTTTTTGAGTATATATATATATTAATTACTCAGAAAATATTACTCAAAATATTCCTCACCTAGATATATGCCCATGAAGAAGTCCGCGGCGGCCAGATTGCAAACGAGAAACCGGGGAACGTCCATTTTGCTTCTGGAGAATATCAATACGAACACGACAGTGCCGTTCCCCAGCATGGCGAGTAGAAAGACAACCCATACCCCGCAACGCAGCGTCCACCAGTCGAATAAATCTTGGCATGGCAAGAAAGGACCTGGAAACAACGCGCGGAACAACGTCAGACAAAAATCTAAAATCTACTTTTTTATAGGACACGCAAGAACGCGAATCCTGAAATGGTATCCCGGCGAAAGACGCTTTTTGGTCTTTCTAACGACGTCGTGAAATATTCGCTACAGAGTCATTTTTACAGTGCATAGAAGATCAAGAGATTACGGGGCGTTGGAAGATTCCGGGATACCATTAGAGGGTTCAGCATAGAAGAGCTGACCTACCCGGCTGAGGCAGGCATTGAACCCGTGACGGTAGTGTCTGCGCAGGCAGCGTAACACGGTCGTTCTGCTCCTCAAAATAATCCTCAACATATGAGGGCAGGTTACCGGGGTACGTAAAATCTGTACCAAAGTTAGCCAGAAGTTCATTTATTTGCGAGCCGAATTTGTCGGTCATGTTATCTAAACAAACGTCATCACTTCAGTGCTGCAAAGTATTCGGGGGACGTCGAGACAATTTTTGGGTGAATGTGTGTATATATACATATATATGTGTTTCACGGGGTTGGAGCTCAAAGCGAAGTTTGCGGAAAGCGTTTCGAACGACATAATAATAATAATAATAATAATAATAATAATAATAATAATAATAATGTGTTGAATGAGGTAAAATGAATGCCCATGAAATCTATCGAACTACATATGTATATCTATATCTCGGACATTCTTCTTGGGGTCTGAGAGTGTTAGGACGGACCGTCGAGAGTGTTACAGTGCTTTGCAGCATTTAAGTGTCGGGCGAAGCGCGCAGATCAATCGAGCAGAAGCAACTAAAACGGCGACCAAGGTGCCAGCCAAGCTGTGAACCATCGAACTGATTGTCGAAATAATTTCAGCGGGAGAGGAGGGGCTCGTGTCGACGGTGACAGTGGCGACGATAGAACACGGTGGACGACGCCCGGCCACTTACTCAGCTGCGGCCAGATATCGGAGAAGCTCGTGTTCCACAGACTCATGTCGAACTCGTTGTCGGTGGGATACAGGATCGATTCTTGAACGGAGGATTTCGTGACCGGCTCCTCCACCTCGATGGCCAGGAACGAGCAGCAGTGGTAAGCGTACGAGAGCACCATGGTCTGCACCCTTGGGAACCTGTCCGGCGACGGGAACTCCCTCAGGGCTGGGTTGTTGAACGTCTTCAGGTGCAGCAGACCGGACAGTCCTAGCGTTGGCAGTGCGGGGAACACGTTGTTCCCTAGATTCCTGCAACAGATTCTCGAGTCAATAGATTGTTCTCTATAATAATTTATAATATAATATAATATAATATAATATAATATAGTATAATATAATATAATATAATATCTGTCTCTTATACACATCTAGATGTGTATAAGAGACAGATATTATATTATATTATATTATACTATATTATATTATATTATATTATATCTGTCTCTTATACACATCTAGATGTGTATAAGAGACAGATATTATATTATATTATATTATACTATATTATATTATATTATATTATATCTGTCTCTTATACACATCTAGATGTGTATAAGAGACAGATATAATATAATATAATATAATATAGTATAATATAATATAATATAATATAATAATAATATAATAATATAATATAATTCATCAAATAATCCATCGAGGCGTCCGCGTGCAAGCCGTGATCTTTTGGAATAATTTCCTCGAGATTTTGTAAGCGTCTCAGCCAGCTTTAGCAGGGAATTGAAAGGCGTACCGATAAATAAACTGTGGAATTTATGTACTTGCAACTGGGTAGGCGCAATTTGAAACACTGAACTCCTTGCACTAGAATTATGTTACAATTACGTTGATCAGAAACTCCTGATCCTGGATAATTTCTCAAGTAGATTGAGACTATTTTTGCTTTCTTGTACGTGTGTGTCTTATTGTACATTGCTTCTTCCCCGTTCGCAGTAAATTCTCCCTAATTTTCCCCCTTCGGCTTGCAAATAAAAATGGACAATTTGGGAAGAAGAGATACGATTATTCGAGCCTTATTGACAATCCAGCCACTATCAAAATAATATTAAAATAATACTAAATTTAATCATTTATATTATATTGAATTTAAAATAATATTAAAATTAAACAATATTTACAGAACTCTTGGCTCGAATAATCGTGTCTCTTCCTCCCAAATTGTCGATTTTCGTTTACAAAAGTTGAAGGAAAATTCGGGAGAATTTATTGTACTTTCATTTACAACGATTGCAATCGATACAGAACATTGGTGATCGATGAAAATGGATTTATAAAAGTTCCTAATCTGTCGATGAAGCCAGCTGCTAGCGAAACTGTCGGGAAACGACTCCGATAGGACACCAGCTTCCATCCCGAAGCTTCGGCAGAGGAAACTGTGTCAATGCCAAATCGCGGAGGTTTAAAATCTCCGATCCACTCGATCCAAATCGCGTCCAAGACGGGATCCACTTACAAGTCTTCTAGGTGCTTGGTCTCCTTGAACGCGTCCGGGTGTATGTACTCGATGTAATTGCTCTCCAGATCTCTGGAACATCGAACCCTCTTTTTCAAGACGATAGCGTTGAGCCATCTTCGCCGGACTAGTTACAACGGGCGCTACTTACAACACCTGCAGCTTCGACAGGCCGACGAACGACTCGCTGGAGACGATTCTGAGCCTGTTGTTCGACAGAAGAAGATCGTGCAGCAGGCTCAGCCCCCGGAACGGCTCGTCCATCAGCGAAGAGATCTGGTTGCTGGCCAGGTCCCTGAACAGAAGAGCAGATCGCGTGAACCAAACGAACGAAATACATAAGCACAAATAAAAAACGAACCCGAACCGTCGAATCTAATTAAAACAGTTTTTTATTTACCATCTGATGTAATTTAATGCTATAACAATTTAATGTCGTAACACCTGATGTAATCTAATAATTTATATTATATTAATTATAATAGATAGAATATCTGTCTCTTATACACATCTAGATGTGTATAAGAGACAGGATGTAATTTAATGCTATAACAATTTAATGTCGTAACACCTGATGTAATCTAATAATTTATATTGCATTAATTATAATAGATAGAATATATTGTGTATGTACTAAATAGTATAATAAATGTGTAATGATAGTATAATAATAAAAAAACGAACCCGAACCGTCGAATCTAATTAAAACAGTTTTTTATCTACCATCTGATGTAATTTAATGCTATAACAATTTAATGTCGTAACACCTGATGTAATTTAATAATTTATATCGCATTAATTATAATAGATAGAATATATTGTGTATATACTATATATTATAATAAATGTGTAATGATAGTATAATAATAAAAAAACGAACCCGAACCGTCGAATCTAATTAAAACAGTTTTTTAT